ATTGCAAATTTTTTGCAAACAACCTGTCAAAGGAAATTTGCACATTTTTAGTTTTTCTTGATTAAAAATAATGTTATTTAAAATTTTGCACAAATTTTTTGCATATTTGAAATGGCATGGTCAAGGGCTTTTCAAAAATGTATAATTTTTCATGTTTTTGAAAAATCTTTTTTTGCACACATTTTTACTATATAACTGGATTTTGCGATAAAAAATTCAATTTTTGCAAATTTGCAATTTTTTTTGCAGATTCTAAAAGTAGAGCACAAGAGCTTTCTAATGATGTATCATTTGTCATATTTAGATATCAAACATGGGATTTAGAGGAGGGGGGGGTCAAATTGACCCCCCCTCCAGCGTATCCTGGTTTTCAAGTACCCCAGCAGAGATAGGGTTAAACATATTTATTTTGAAGTTGAAAGACATATTTATTGAAAGCGTTTGTGATATAAAGCAAGGAACTAATGCAAGGAAAGTTAATTGCGGTCGTGTAAACTCTGATTACAAATGGAAACCAGTTCTCTTTGGGTGGAATTTGTAAACAAGAATAGATGCATCAGTGTTCGTTTAGTATCCAAGGAGGTTAAAAGCATTGAATTTTGATAATTCTGATAATTCACATAATAGTTTCCTATGACCAGTATAATTCATTGATTTTTTTATGTGAAAGATGGATCCCATGTCAGGCTTCGACATCCGTCTTGTGTTTAAATTACCGCCCAGAGACAGTACACTGCAGTACAAAATATGTGTACACTTCTGAAATAACTTTCCTTGCATTACATTTTTGGCTTAGACTAAGAGTGGACAGCTGAAAATATTGTATACACAAAATAAAAAGATGTCGTAAATATGGTGAAAATAGAATTTAAATAAGATAAAAAACTTATTGTCTTAAACTCTTAAGACCAATTTGAACAAAAGTTTAGAAAACATTTTGTATAAAAAGTAATAATTATTATAAATCTTACTTTTACACCTTCATTTAAAAATTTTTACTTTATCCTCAGATTTAAATCATAAATACAGTTATTTATTATTTGTTTTCTAGTAGTTTATGCTTATAAAGTGATTAAATGATTTTACGTTCTAAAATGCTTATCTTAAACTGTTTCTAAGTGTTTATTAAACTTTTGAGTTTAGACCGATGAATGCACCGCAATAATACAAAGGGGTAATTGCATTACAATTCTTTAGAATTCAAGCAGAACTAACTCGTTGTTGTTCAAAAAACGTTAATTGTGTTCTTAAATATAAAAAATGTCTATAGCCAGAAACCAGCAATCACATGAGACATAAATAACACCACGTAAATTCTGCCTGCTATAAAATGCTGCAACAATTTACAAGCAATTGGATTTTATTTGTGCAGCCCAAGACATGTACATTTAGAACTATAAACCATTTTATTTTAGCTAAAGTAAGTCTTTCAGAAATAATTGGCATAATTCTTAAAGATTTCTGCAAGAGAGCTTTCAGTGACACATAACTATGGTTTCCAGCAAACAAAATGTTTCGCGAAAAAATTAGAAAATTTTCGTTCGTATTTCGCAAACGTTTTCACAAAATTTTGTATTTGTTTGTGAAATGAATGAAGCAAAAAAGCGAAAACGAAGTAAAATTTCGCGAAAAAGTATTTTTGCAAATAATATTCTCACGAAAATATTTTTGCAATAATTTGATTTGACAATGTGATAATGGAAACTAAAATTTGCATGCTATGTAAAATAAAAACTGAAATTATTTTGTTTTTAATTTTACTAAAAAAGTTCAATCAGTTTACAACAACAAGTAACAATAATTGTGTAAAAAGTAACATTTTACACCGTATCATAGAAAAATTGATACTTAGTTTACAGGGTGCATTTAAAATAATCCGAATTATTTTTGCTCCTCCCGTTGTAGATTTTAAATTGTGTTTTTTTGTGGAATATGGCAGCCTTCAATTCTCGAAATTTTGTCTTTTTTTATAAATTTTCGCAAAAATTTTGCATTCCTTTTTAAAAATTCAGTAATTTTTTGCAACATTTTTGGTTTTTTTCACATAATTTACTCTTTTTTGAGTAATTTTCTCATTCTTTTTTCGTGAAGATTCGCATTATTTTTTTGCGAAAATTTTGCAATATTTTTTTCGAGAAATTTTTGTATTTTTTGCATTTCCTATTTTGTGAAAATCTCGCATTTTTTGCGCGAAACAGATGGAAGCAAAATTTTCGCATTTTTTGCGAGCAAACGAAATGCGAAATTTTCTCGAAACGATTTTCCTTTTGTGCTGGAAACCCTGAACATAACTAACAAACGCATTAATAACAACCTGACACTTTATAGACAAAAATGTTGTGTTAAATCTAGATCTAATTTACATTTTATCTCGATATTCACTGTGCCAACCTTTGAATTTAAATACAAATATGAATGTCCGAAAGAAAATAATTACACAATTAATCCCAGGATTCGAACACAAAAGTTTTAACATCTTGCAACAAAACAACTGACAAGCAGATGGTGTAAAATAATTTGCACTGGAAACAGAAGAAAAAGAGAAATCCAATATTTGTATGAATTAAGATTGATGAAAAATAAAAGATTTTTATATCAAAAATTGGAATCTTAGACATGATTGGAAATAAATGGAACATTTTTTTTCAAAATTTTCGCAAAAAATTGAATTTTTTGCGAAACTCAAATTTTGTAATATCCAGTAGCTGGATAGCGCAAACCTTTGATTTATCAAGCTTAGACTATTAAATATAACAGACTGTATAGTTTGAAATATAAAAGGTCTATGCCATCGGGTTGTAGAAATCAGTTTGTGACAAAAACTCAATACCTCTGTTTGTATAATCTTACACAGAAAGGTGCAAAAAATGTTCTTTGTTTAACAAAAAAGATAAAAAATTTTTTAACCTGGTATAGATAGAGAATTTTAAAAATAGGGCAAATTAAAGCCAAACAAAACAATTTTCTTAAACTTTTATGACCGATTTAAAAAATTAATGACAAAATATGGCTTTATTTCAATTATTACAAACTTTACATAACATGCATAATCTTTAATCTGTATCATAAAAACATTATACATTTATGGTAATCATTTTGTAAATACCCTTAAATCGTAAATATATATTCTTTACTCACTATTTATTTACCAAGATTATAAAATAAAAAAAAGTTTGTTCTTTTAAATGTTCATAAAAACGAGCTTTTCTAAGTGTGATTTTTAATTATGTTTGACTATAAATGTATCATTATAAATCTAATATCAGGAAAGTGCGATTTAATATTTAAATAAAAGTTTTAAAATTCCTACAAAACTGTTGATAAAATAATAAATACACTTTATTGTTGTGTCATTATCCTTTAAACCCGGGCTACAATATCATAAAATCTAAAATTGTACATCAGAAACTGAATACCTATTTCTAACAAACAAAAACACACAGAATAAACTGACAAGCAAGCTGAACAGATTGTTCTCTGTATTCTGATCATGAAAAGTATTGAAAAAGTTTAAAATAGAGAAACTTTCTTCTAAGATTTTGGATTATATTTCAAGATACAGGGATAGAGTAAACTTAAGAAAGAGAATGAGTATACCCTGGAATAGAAAGAGAAGACATTTAAGCAAACTTTAATATGATTGTTGTGATATAAAGCAAAAAGTTTCACCAATATCAACTTTTTAATTGAAACGTGTCATTGTTCTACACTGCACAATTGCTGAGTTTCAAGTTCATATTAGACTACTTGAATTAATCTGTCGTCTTCCTATTCCACAGCTTTATGTGTCCCAAAGGCATATTTTTTAATAAAGTATAAATGAAGTATACAGTGTAAAAATGGTGTGATGTGCTAGCTGAATATTAGAAATCTTATTGAAAACACAGATGGTATGAAATACTTTGCACTAGAAACAGAAGAGAAAAACAATATCAATGTTGTTATGAAATATGATTGAATAAAATTCAGAATTCAACAAAATATGATGTTGCAAGAAACATTGGAACATTCTTGATATAAATAACATCTATGATTCAGTTTTCGTGTGTCATACTTTTTTATTAGAATTAGTAAGTGTTTGTAAAAAATCACACTTTTGTTTGAATCAAGAGGTGCTATTTTTATATAAATCAAAAAAGGAAAATTAGATAAAAACAGCTCCAACAGTTTTAACCAATCCAACACATCGATATCTAATTAGATTTTTTATTGAATTATTATAAACTATTTTCGCATTCATTTGACATGTTCTTCAAGCTTCAAAGAGTTTGTTATAATAATTGATTTGCAGAAATTTATCCTCTTCATTGATTGATTTCATTAAATAGGAAATTGAAAAAAAAAGTTGTTTTAATTTATATTTATATTTTATTTTATTCATTACCATTCAAGTCAAATCTCTTTCGGTTTGACTATGATGCATTGATTATACATATGTCATTTTAAAATTTATTGAAATTTCAGATCGTGCATTGTAGCCTCAATTTTTGTCAATATTGAACGAACAAAAATTCTGATGACTGTTGAAATGGTTCTGACTAATTTCTTTTTAACAGAAACAACATGAGCTATAAAAGTACCAATCTCTATATCTTGAGGACTCAAACATTTGATATTTCAAACCTCAAACTTTGACTAATTGATCTAGCAGTAGAATTATTAGTTTGAAAAAAAGGTCTATGACACCAAGTGGCAAATAAAAAAGAATTAGAAAATTATCATATTTTTTTGTTTCTAATTTATTGATATCAAACACTGCATTTAATGTTTTAACAATACTGAAGCAAAATTGATGCCTCCCGAAAAAAAAGGGTGAGAAAAATTTTAATGCATCCATCTTGGGCTAAGGTCACAGACATAATGCCGTTTCATTTACTGTTGATAAAAATTATATCTTAATTTTCTTAGTTTTATATTCATTCAGGTTAAGCGTCTGTATTTTGTAATGAATGGTAGCTGATAAAAAAAAATTTATAAAGATAAAGATAAAAAATGCCAACTCAGTGCAAGAATAACAGTTATAACTTAAACATGGAAGTTTTATCTTTTCTTCCTGTAACTCATTTAAGGAATACAGGAGAACATAAAAATGATGAAAGAGTAATTAGCAATGAATCCCAATTTAATTCTGATTTAATTTCAAATTCTGATTCCCAAGGTTATGAATCAGGCTCTGATTCCCAAGGTAATGAATCAGGCTCTGATTCCCAACTTCCTGAGTCCCAAATTGAAACTAATACCTCACAACCAGATGTAGGAGAAGATGAAACCGATCATCCCCGTGATGAACAAGGTGGTGAAGATGTTGTTGGTTCCAGGCTTCAAGATTATGTTGATATGCCACCACAAAGTCCAATACAGTACAGTCGAACACAGAACGACCGAACGCTTCCAAGTAATTTTTAATTTAACATGTTTTTTTTTTTTTGATTTTGATTTGTGTGATTCTTAATCTACATTGATATTATTAAATAAGAAATTGAATTATCAAATCCCTATATCTTTGCAACCTGATGGTACCTTTGATATTTAAAATTTTAATTATTTGATATAGCAGCATTTATAGTTTGAAATATCTAAGACTTACAACATTGAGTTGCAAAGATATAAGAGTTAGAAAATCAGAGTTTGTGACAAAGACTTAGTTCCTTTCCAAAGACATTGTGCAGAACGAGTTTTTCAACTTACAATAATTCTTGACTAACAACAAACAATGCTGATCAAGATCAACTGTTTGGAAAAACTGTTTTGTTATTTTCTCATTTTAGATTATGCTAGTTTTTCTCATGTAAAAGAATATGATGGACCAGTACACATCCAGTATGCATCAAATCCAGCAAGATTCAATACCTTCAATGATTGGCCTATTGGTCTCAATCAAAAACCTGGTGCTATGGCAAAAGCTGGATTTTTTTACACAGGTAAACATTTAATCCTCTTTGTTTCAATACAAGGAGAATATACATTTTTTTGATCAAAAATTACAAATTTGGCAAATATTTTTAATTTGATTGCCAAAAATTCCAGTATTTTTGCCAGCATATTTGTTATCTAAAAATAGAACTTTTTTTCCAAAAAGTTCTTACTGAGAATTATCTTAGAGATGTTGTCACTTAAGATTTGTTAAGATTAAATTGGCTGATTTTCATTTTGACCGATGTTTTAATACAAAGACGAAATTATCATTTTAATCTAGGGTGCTCTGATAAAGTCACGTGTTTCTATTGCAATGGTGGGCTCTGTGGCTGGGAACCTCAAGATGACCCAATGGAAGAACATATCAAGTAAGTTTTTAGCTCTCAATCTAAAGATGTTTGCCAATTTAGTTGGTTTCTTCTCATTTTTAGACCAAAAGGGTTGATTCATCAATGGATATTTTAATCTTAGGAATTTCAAGTTTGGTGAAATGTGAAATTTATGAATTTTGTGGTTTTTAGATGCAGTTATGAAGAAATAACAAAAGAATATATGAAGAATATAGTTATTACAATAATCCCTTAAATTTAAACTAATTGATTTATTATTTTGATGGTGTATGATATTTTGAAAACCCTATATTTCCTTGAAAAGCTCTTTTCACATGTTTTACCATGTTGTTTTTTTATATTTCAATATTAGGCGCCATTCAAGGTCTGTGTCCTAGACTGCGGTTTAGACTTTTAAAAAGATAAAATAAGAAAAACAACAGTTTTGCGGTTTGATAATTCCAAACCATAAATATAATTTGTAATGATTTAGGTCCTTCCCTTGTTGTCAGTTTATTGAACTGACAAAGAAAGAAAATGTTTCTATGTACAAAAAGGAAAGACAGCAGTTAGAAATTAAACAAGAAACAGAACAAGGTAAGATCAAATATTTTAACATCAGTTGAAAGCAGATTTTTTAAATATTATCCTAGATGTTAATTTAAGAAGGATGCCTATAATTTGTTTAAAAATCATTGGCACTTTTCTTTTTTAAAAGAGTTTTTTAAAGGTATCATACTATAAACTTGAAGAGAAAACTCAATGAGAAGGACTCAANGCACTTTTCTTTTTTTAAAAGAGTTTTTTAAAGGTATCATACCTTTGTGTCGGGAATCTGAACTATAAATTGGCTTTTTCTCCGGCCACGGTTTTTTTTGAAAAGCAAGACTAAAACTATATGAATAGTTGTTAGGCTATTTAGTTTACCTGAAATTACTCATATTAGTGAACGGTCCCTTTAATGATTGAAATTTTGTTTTGTTTAGAAAAGGCCGTATCAGACAAGACAAGAAAGGTCTCTGAATCATCAGATGATTTAGAAAATTCTGCTCTCATTTGTAAAGTATGTTTAGATAAACAGGTAACTAATTGAATATATTTTTATTGATGATTTAAAGATACTTTGAAATATTTTTATACCATAATTTTACATGTTTAGGTTTCTATCCTCCTGCTCCCATGCAGGCATCTGGTCAGCTGTGGAGAGTGTACAGTTTCCCTCAAGGTAACAGCTGACAAAAATCCACGAAAGAAATTGTATAAGTTTCTGAAAAAGAATTTCTTAATGTACTATTATGAAAAGTGTACAATAGTTGTTTTCCATGACTCTGCAAGCATAATTCCAAAGTGTAAAGTTCATGATCAAATATAAGATTTTAGCATTTAGATGTTTGTTTGTGGTGTGCTGATAAGTGATCAAAAGTCACGTTAAATTTGATAAAGGACAAAAAAGAATACGTATTTTTTGTTAGTAAAAAGAAATGAAAAGAAAATCATCTTTTGTTTGACGTTTTTAATCTTCTGAAACATTTAAACAATTACATTTCATGGCAATAATAGTTTTATAATTATAAATATTCATTTTCTAGAACTGCCCAGTGTGCAGAGGAAGAATTCAGCATACTGTCAAAGCCTTCTTGATCTAGCTGACAATGGTCAATTTAAATGTGAACCGGACCGACCCCTTGTACCGGTCATAATGACGCGGGGAAATTACTGTCCAAACCATGGGTACACACATATACATTTTAACTCCTGTTCCCATAGACACATATACATTTTTACTCCTGTTCATTTAGACACATATACATTTTTAACTGAATCTTTATCTTCAATTTTTAAGTTTTAATTTTTTTATAATTTGAAGGTTACCATTTATCCCATTTAGGAATTCAAGTATTAACATGAAATTCAACAACACTGTTTTTGGAATATTTCTTGATAATATGTAGATTGTAGTTGTAAAGTTAGTGAATAGATTAATAAAACTTTGAATATATGTATTATATCTTTTGATGAACAATACAATTTTTACTACTGACGTGATGAGCGTTCAGATCCTACGTCTGAATCTGATAAAATATGCTTTTTATCACAAACGCTTTAGATAAATACGTCTTTCAACTTCAGAATAAACCTGTTTGATTATGTTCAAAATGTGTCACCCAATTAATTATTGAACCTATAAATAACATACTTTTCTATTGGAAATGTAATGTGCAGATCATAGTTTAAAGTTCTGATAAATTAAACTAAAGTTCTGATAAATAAAACAAAAGTTCTGATAAATTAAACAAAAGTTCTGATAAATAAAACGAAAGTTCTGATAAATTAAAAGAAAGTTCTGAAAAATTAAACAAAAGTT